ATCTTTTCTTTCCGTTCTCGTTTCCCCTTTTTCTTTTTCTCTTTCACGGTGTACTCTTTCTTAGAAAATTAAAACGTCCGTCGAGACGAAATTGGTCAAAAGTATGCGAAATATTCGCCGTGGGAATAAAAAAATGATAATGCACGGCAAGCACGTATCCGGTATGTCACTCGGCGGACGGGTTGCAAACGAGTCGAGAAGAATCGATTCGACACGTTCTCCGGGGGGGGGTTGAATGAAGAAAGAGGTAGAAAAGGGAACGGTAAGAGGACCCCACCCTTTTTGCGGCCTAGGGGCTCCACTGCTTCTTTTTCCTTTCTGAGAGCCACTGTGGATAATTGGAACCGCACCCACGAACTCGTGGTTCGAGTTCAGTCCTTGTGAATGTCTCGCTTTTTCTTTCTTATCTCTCTTCCTCTATTCTCTGTCCTTCCTCGGTACCGTAAAATACCTTAAAACAATGCGTACGCCTGCAACGCTCGTCGAAATAGGAATCCTTTGTACTCAAAGAAGCAGGAAAATTATTTCCGTCTTTCGTTTTAAGCTTGATTGCAAACTCATGGGTGGTCCTCGTGATTTGAGAAAGTCTGCGAAATGCCTGCACTTTGTCCGATACTCGAATAAATTGGGTACCCCTGCCGATGAAAAATAACGGGTTACTATTACATCCACCAAGTGTCTACGTCTTTGCATAAGCCCGTGAATGTGTATGTCTCACGACTGTATCAGTGGCACCCTATCGAACCGCGTGAGATTCGGTTAATAATGGACCAATCCGTCTTTCGCCCCCTTTAATGCGCGATGCATTCCAGCCTCACCGATAATGGAACACATGTAGTCGATAAACTTTTCTTCGATAGCCTATTAAAAGTTTTTTTAAAATGTCGCTTTGATTCGTAACCGAGTCAAGTGGCGCTACCAGACCGAGACGCCGATAAAAGTGACGATCTCGAGAAAAGAATTATTCCAATCTCACCCCGTAGAACGACTATTCGTTTATTTCGCGTGTGGTATGAAACAGTCGCGAATCGTTTCGAAACATTTCCAGATGTAAATGCGACGGTTCGACTTTTCTTTAGAAAACTTCCCTTACTCTTTCTAACATTCGGACGAAAAATGGCTTTAAATACGTCGGTGTGTCGAAAATACGTGTCAAATTGCAACGTAATAAAATTGGACTCGAGTACCACTAGCAACCCTTGTCTAAAGCACACAGAGTATAACGATCTATCGCAATAATATAACGAAATAGGTATTACGAATAAGTAACATAGATTTATCCTAAATCCGATCTTCACCAGGACCAACGTTTCTGTCTGTCGAAGAGACTCATCATCGACGTGTTATGACGCATCAGGCGAATCCAACTCACACTCCGATAAACGAGAAGATACGATGTAACGTCCATAACTAATAACAGAAAAATTCCAAATTCTTTCACACTCATCTTCTTAATTTCCCCAATGAAAAAGCTGCGAAACAGGAGAGTCACGTGCAACCACCTGTGCACTGCTATCGACGTGTTACAACGTGGCAGAGCCATTGGATCCTCTGGTCGAAGAACTGCTTAAACAACTTCCCAGGTAATAATCTCGATAAAGAAGCACGAGGAACGATCGTGTAGAGAAAGTAAGGACAAGAAATGAAAAAGTTCACCATGGTTCACAGAACGCGATACACGAACGAGTCTCGAAGACACTGGGAAATGATGCTGCATTGCGAGAGAGCCTCGTTTCCAAGGGGGGCGTCGAATTTGCCTCTGCCCTCAAGGGAGGTACGTATATCACCGGAGGAAACCCGGCGAATTCAAAAGCCGAGAACTCAATTAACCCGAACAGCTAGAACTCAATTACAAATGTCGGTCGGCGGGAACGTGCGGTGGCTGGTAATTAAAAAGTTATTATATCCAGGCCCGTTTCTACTGGCACTTGTACTCAGCCGCGGTGAAAAACTCGCGTTCCTACCAGAAACAAGTGAATCACGCTCTGCTCGTTACCTTGGCCAAGTAAGAATCCAACAGTGGAATTATTGAACCAATTATTGGGTAATCCTTGATCAATGGATTTAAATGTTTGTGTAGTCGATGAGGTTAGATTTGCTTCAGATTTAATCGAAAAGATCGGTCGTGTATGCGTAGTAGTGGTGTAATATTGAAAGTTGTTTTCCTTCTACTCGTCTGCGATAAATTAATATTTTTATGAATTATAAAGAAAATAAACGAAAAGATAGAAATAACGTACAGATTTTGTTGTTATTCTAATTCAACGGTAGTGAAAATTCAATGCTATATCGCATGTTAGATATTCAGAAACGCATTTTCATTGTTACAGACTTGTACGTGGCCAAAAACAGAAGAAAGGTATCAGCGTTTGGGCTCACTTAATACGATTGCAAACGTTCGATCGAATTAATCGGAAAAATTTAATAACACGTTTAGAACAACTCATACGGTAAGTAAACCCCTTACCTTATCATTTAAGTAGCGATGGCGCGTGCCATAGTCAACAGCAACGTCGGTCACGTCGGTACACGTCGAACCATTTCGTGCGAACGCGATCAAGAATAACACGTAACTGAGACAGAAAGACATCGGCGAAAATGAACCATGAGCCTGACCCGTGTTGTTTACATTCGGTCCTACCTACACTAAGGCTCTCGCCAGTGATGATACCGTCTCACACGGTATTGTAGGCGAAGGGCGAACTAATACTGTACATTTCGTAAACGTTGAGATCATAACTCGATAAAGATGAATTTTTTAACACAGATACAAGTAACAATTGTAAAGTCTTAAAATAAAGTGACAAGAACTAATAAAAAAGGAATACACATAAGAATGTAAGCCGCGAGAAAATAAATTACATTTACTAAAAAGAATAAGACTTATTCTATATGTATGTTCTACATTGTAGTAAACAGACTAGACTAGAATCTATTTGTCTGGAAGGTTTGTCGTTAACGCCAGACGAAGGTGTACGACTGCTATTGGCTCTGTACAATTCCCGTAAAACAATGAGATACGTGTATTGTTGGCATGCATTTGAGAAAATGGTAAGCCTCACAGTGGATAGTGGCCATCAAGACGAATCAAGATTTTATGCGAACAAAAGAATCGAGAAATGCGACTGGTTTCGCGCGATCGGCTGTTTGGACTTCCTCACCACGTTGTCCGTAAACTATGCATACATAGCAACACCCACAGGAGATCTACTCGTCAATTTGGCCAAGTACGTTAAGTACTTGAATTCTCTTACTGCTTTTTACTCATTATGATATTACTGCAATTTTAAACATAATTAACTTATACAACCTGCATTATCGAATACCAATACTTATAGATGTTTCTATCGTATCGTTAAATATATCTTTCTAAACGGATAATTAAAAAATATAAAAAGATATGTAGAAAATATGTGAAAAATAATATATAAAATATGTTAAAGTAGTAAAGTAGTACAAAGTAAATATATAATTTTATAAATATATATAAATATAATGTATAATATATATAATATATAATAAATATAAATGAACACATAAAATGATCTCGTGAATTGCGAGTGCAAAAATTTAACTACACTCTGAACTGTTCAAAAAACAATATTCTGATTCAATATATTATTAAAAAGTATAAATTTACCTCAAAATTCAATCACGTTCGTTATAATTGTAGAAAACTTGGCGCAAATTGGCACTGGTTGCAATTGCTATGTTTGGAAGAAGAAGTTTTACAGGAAGGTGATGGTTGTGATATTGAAAAAGCCATGATACCAGACGACGCTTGGAAAGCAGCCCACTTCTGGGCACCAATGCTGAAAGTACAATACGCTATTAGTAAGAATTTCGTTGTAATTAATTATATATCTGATATTGAATATGTATAAAAAATATGTATTTCTTATACTTTTAGTTGGAATACCACAGTACGATATTCACAAAAAATTTTTCACAAAACACACTCGAATACATACTTTTGCTTTATCGACAAATATCGATTTGAAATTTCGACAACCATGGTATCTCGATTGCACGATTAAGACACTTTGTACATGGTATTCGGAAACTCTAGGTAATCAAAATACCACAATTACTTATATATGAAACAATCAAACATTTCTTTCTTTTACCTTTTGTTATTTACGTCGTAGCTCTTTTTCAACCACTTTTTACTATCTAAATTGCGACTAAAATTTCAAACGCGATCCGTTAGTTTACGCCGTCTATGAGTAGCTTGTGGAACTAACATTTTGTATCGATGAGCGATATTTCGATTACTCGTTTTGATTACGAGCCCTATTATTCATATTTATTGTTTTTTAATCTTTTACGCAATATAATGTACATATTTAGCATAATTTGACATACCATATTGTATTTTGCATTTTTATACATATAACCTATGTATGTTATTTTTTATTAAATAATAATGTATAAATTGATCGTTATTAATATTGCATAGTGTACTTATGTCTGCAATTATCACACAATCGACAAAATTTGGACAATCTGTTAAGAAAACTCTTCCTTTATTTACCATCGCTTCGAATTTTTGAATTTATTGGTGAAATTAGAACATTGAAACCACTTTGTGCGATGTGTTGTCAAATACGATCTGGTCATTGCAGTAATTATTTAATATACAATGCTAATTGTAATATATCAATAATTATTTATTTATCGGTAACATTCCTTACTTTTTCCAGATGTTCATCGCGTTAATATGCAACTTCAAGATGTTATACACAATGATTTAGACAAAGAAAAATGGGTAAAAAGCGTAAGGTGTATGATGATTTGTTTTAAATATGATTTCGATAGAATGGGTGTTAAATTTAACATTGATTTTTATTGTTCTTGATTAGAATTTTTCTACTGAAATTGCAGAAGTAAAATATATATAAATTATTTGTGCAAAATAGCATAAAAGTAAATGCTTATAAATGCACATTGTGTAAATGTAAAAATAAATTACAATTAAGTTATTCGATTAAAAAATACTATTATGCTTCTGTTGTTTCTTGCTGTACAAATTTTGGATATTTTTCTTCAACTTCCAACCATGTAAGCTTGCCATTGGATAAATCTCTTATTACATCTGATATCTCATCCAACTATAATTCCAATAATAACATTTCTTTTTAACTTTACATTCATATCCTTACATTTTTTTTAAATATTTACTCACATTTATTCTAACTTGTCCCATACTGTCTCGTTCACGAAGTGTAACACTATTTGTTTTCAATGTATCAAAATCTATGGTGATACCAAATGGTATCGCAATTTCATCTGTCCGTGCGTACCTACGTCCAATACTACCAGAAGAATCGTCAATTTTATGCGATATATCTAGTTTAGTGAGATTCTGAGCTGTAAATAATAAATAATACTTTAATAAGTACATTATGAATTTTTCAAAGTTCAAAATATTTTGATAAATCAGTATACATACATAATTGTTTTATAAATGGAACAAATTCATTATTAGCACTAAGTGGTAACACTGAACATTTTAAAGGAGCCACAACAGGTGGCAAACTGAAATAAGTTCGTTTCTTGTCTCCTTCTCTCTCTTTAAAATTATGTTCAAAAAGAGCATACATAATACGACCAATACCAAAAGATGGTTCGATTACGGAAGGAATTATTTCTTCTACGTGTACAGATTTTTGATATCGTTTTACTTCAATCATATCTTTTGTAATTATTACTGCAGCACCATTTGAAAGATTTAATTTAGCTTCCCCATTTTCATTAATTTCAGTTTCCATAGCATTAATATTACTCTCACTTAATGCTGCTAAAGCATCTTGAACTAATTTAGTATATTTTTTGAATGTTTGTCCAATAATTTTATTTGGTACTATTTTGCATACATCAACATTTTTTGGTGTTTGCAATTTTTTCTCTGCTACTAATTTTACTCCAGTAGCCTTTGTATGTTGTGTAAGATCATAAGCAGAACGATCTGCACAACCAACACACTCTATCCAACCATAAGAGGTTAAACATTCAGCATCCCAACAATCACAAGCATAATGAGCCATTTCATTTCCCATGTGTTGACGGAAACGTAAACGTTTTGGATCAATTCCAACTTTAACTAAGAATAAATAAATTCGACCCATAAAATATCCTAATGTTTCATTAGCTATAAGTTTAGTTAATACAGCATCACCTAAAGTTATGTACTCTGCACTCTTGCCATCCATTTGATGACAAGCAGAATATAATAGCAAACTTAAATCTCTAACAGTTTCAAATTTATGATGATTTTTCTCATTAGGATCACAAAAATGTTCTATTTCTGCCATAGTGAACTCTCTTACTCTTATTAAGCCAGATCTTGGGGAAATTTCATTACGGAATGCATTTCCAATTTGAGCTGCAGCAAATGGTAACTTCTCCTGGTTAAATGCAAGTAATCGTTTAAAATTTACAAAGATACCTTGAGCAGTTTCTGGTCTTAGAAATCCTTTCACAAGTCCAGAAGGACCAATTTGAACTCCAAACATTAAATTAAATTCTATTGGTTCTGTTAGATCGTTCCCAGTAATGGGGGATTTCATATTGAATTTAGACATAATTGTAGCCATTTCATCCTTAGTCAATCCATCTAATTTTGAAATAATATCATTACATTCTATGCATATGTGCTCATTACTTTTTTTATCGCTAATCACTTTTTCTAAATGTGATTTAATCAGATGATCTAATCTGAAACATTCTCCAGTTTTCACATCTTTTACCATTAAGTCTGCAAACCTTTCTACATGTCCAGATGCCTGAAGTACAGGTTCTGGTGTTAAGACAGAACAATCTACTTCTAACATCTGTTCCTCTAATATAAAAAAACTTCTCCATGTATTTAACAAATTTGTTTTTAATGCACAACCCATAGGGCCAAGATCAAATTGACCACTGATTCCTCCATAAATAGCAAAGGATTGATCAAAGAAAAATCTGCGTTTCAAAAGATCTTCCATTCTTGCTTTGTCAAATATTGTCGTCTTTGACAAAGACAATTCTTTTTCCTCCAACAACTTCTTTCGAACTTTGAGTTCAGCAACTGCTTTCTTGATGTCCAATTCTGGAGCTCCATTAGATTTAAGTTCTCGAACATAATCACCCTTTCAATACAAAAAACAATATATCTATAATTTAATATTAATCATTATAATAGTAATATGACAGTAATATTAAGGAAAAATGATATTTAACAATAACTGTAAAAATAATAAAAATTAAATTTAAAACATTCAATTACAAAAATATATAGAAAATTCACTTATTAAAAGTTTGTACACGTGCAGTTAACAAATATTACATTGAACGATAAATAATAACTATCCATATGGTACTCACTTGTTCCTTCACACTCTCCCGAAGAGGAGATAAGATTTCTTCAATTTTTGGATCTGACATATCTTGTATAATTTGTATTTTCACTACCCGATCTTTTTTTCTTGTACCCCACTTGCTGATGTCGGCTAACCTTACAGTGACACTAAATCTTCGAAATAACTGTTTGTAAACTGAAATATGCTTACATAGACTTTGTGTGACGACCCTCTTACAAAGAAACTGCAAGTTCCGTGAAACAAACTGCATTTATGTTAGTTTTCACCTTACCGACTTTCAAACATTTGCCTGCAATTCCTCTTACTCGAAACATGTAGGAATTTTAGTTTTGAGTAATATAGTACTTATTTTAGCGGTACAATTGATAAAGTTTCAAATCATTTAACATAAATTCAATGATAAAAATTAAATGAAATATTAGGAATTTATCATTATTAGATAACGTATAATTATTCTTTATATATTTTGAACAATATATATTGAATATAAATGTAAAATAAGTAATACGAACATGTAAATACATAATATTGTTTTTTATATATTTTTATAATATGAAGCACCAATATAAATAAAAACCATTTTTTTATCTATAACGGTATTGTTATATTTTTTCATAAAGAATATATTTCAAAACAAATAACATTGTATAGAATGAAAAAAATAAAAAATACACAATATGCCGCGCGTACGCAAGTATAAGTTTATTTTTTTTTTTTTTTATTAAATTAGTGTGATGTTATCAAACTAACTTACTTATTACAAAAAAATTATTTCTCTTAATTTCGAACGATTTTATTTTCTTTGTACACTGTAGCATGGTTTATAGAAAAATTACAATCAGAGAAAAATGATTTATAAAAAAAAATATAAGATTTTCTCCTACAAATTTATTTGTTAATTATAACTTTTCAATAAACCCAGCTTATGTGTGACACATTAAATCACATAATATGCATAGAGAGAAGTGTGTAATCAAGAATGTTTTATTCGTGCTACCACAAGGATATTGAAACTTTTATGGGTAGATTCTTTTCTTAATTACAACCTTAACCTTTTTGACATATAAGTATTAAGTTTTTTATCCTACGCATCTACCTGCATCATACGTTAATTTCAAATCAAACGATTGGTCAGACGCAAGGGTAATTTTTCTGCATAACAATACTACAATCAAAAACAATCTTGATCAGTGTAAACAATTTATTTTACATAAGAGCAATACTCTGACATCAAAAAAGCGATAATAATGGATAATGTATAGTAATAAATAAAGTATGAAATGTAAATAATGGGTATTTACAAGTATGTAAATGGCAAAAAAGCTATAACAGAGACAAAATAATTGTTTCATCTTTCGTAAATATAATCTCGTATGTATTTGCAATAGATTCTATCACTTGTTTGCAAAAGTACATCTTACGTTAATATTTACGTTATGTCGAACCTGTACACTTAAACCTAGAAAACGTGCAACCACAACACGTACCAACATGTAAGATGGTAATGTATTTTTCGTGTAGCAAACACGTGACAGATTCAATGAGAAACACATACCATTAGTATCCAGCATGAATGCTTATTTTCTATAATAATTCACCTATATTTAAAGGGAGTACCATGATAAACACACATGCGGCTTTATATCCCATTTGGAAAATTGATTAAAAATCTCGTGTTTACACTCCCAATTAACTTACGTTAACATAAATGCACAATTTCAATCCAGTACGCCAACTTCGGCAAACATCTCCATTTCTACCAATTTTATGCAAGAATCAAAGTCAAACTTTGATTCTAAATGAAAATATACAAGCAAAAATGTTACACGAGAATATGACAAAATATCACAGTTCCGAGCTTGAAAAGTCGCTTCTGAAAATCATGGCTCTCCCTATTCTTCTTTTATTCATATTCCAAGACAGTCATGAACTGTAAGACATCCTAGTTAACAACAATCCTACATCCTACTATGAGATTATCTATTTCAGAAATTGTAACGTTTAATAGTAATACATAGTCATATACAACTTGCTAAGGATGCTGTAAACTGTATACTGGCTGCTAAATGTTCCAAGTGAATACTGTACGTATAATGTATGTAAAAAGTCAGAGGTGATACATAGATTCAGAGCATATGGTGTAAATGAAGCCTAATTTTATTGTTCAAAGATTAATTATTGAAGTTATGGGAACCGAAGTAACGATGCGCAGTAATTTAAATCAATAATTTATTTCTACAGAAGAGTGACGAATAATATAATAATATATAATAAATAATATCGTTATTATATAAAATGTATACAATAGTTTAATCGAAATATTAAAAGTATTAAATCCTAAGATTATATAAATATATTACTATTCAAGAAATATTAGTAACCATTTAAACAGGTTTTTAAATAATATCATTTTATAAATAATACGTAAATATTCATCACTCTCCTAAAAAGTAACTAAAACGAAAGTTCGACTGATTTTAAAGCGACGTATATTTTTATTTTCAGTACATATAAAATCGAAGATGGAATGCTGATGTATAAAATTTTACGAATATATTATATTCTCCTCTTGTATTTTATATTTTTCTGAGTATTTCGTTTGATCAAAATGATTTTCTTTTTCTTCCTTACAGAATATAAAAGTGATTAGTGTAGCATTTATGCACAAAGCTAAACGATAGTATACAGCATTCCTTTCTTCTTTATATTACTCCTTTAAAATGTACAAAATTATTTCTCATTTAATATTCCTAGTATCATTTGCGTTCTTTTATTTTTACATCATTAAAAATAAAAAGTAAATAACAAATGCCTTCTAAGTTAAAAATATTTCCAAATGCTGTACTTTAGTAAAGTACCAATAAAGTAAAAAAAAAGAAAAAACAGAATGTCCAAACATTACAAGAAATAAAAATACTTCCATGAAACTATGGAATATCAAATTGAGAAATTATTTGCACTCATAACCACTGATGTGTGATTTAGTCAAATAGACGCATCGTAAAACGGCATGACAGTCAAGGCTAAATATTTTGAACATTTCAACAAATTGCACAGTTCAAAGTTAATTGAGATTATCTCATCTTCCTTGACATAAACATGGTACTTTTAAAAAAAAGTACCTGCGCAAATTTATTATCTTAATACAATACTTGTGACTAAATATTTACATCAATGCGTTTTACAGCTTCAGTCTATTAAGCTTCTGAATCGCGACAGCCTTTGAACTTTCGCAATATGCGATATTTTATGACATTATTAATTATTAAACTAATTATTTATCGTAATACCACTTAAGTTTCCTACTGAGCAGGTGGTTGTGGCTCGCTAGGCATATTGGGATTTGGATATGGTGATAAAAATGAATAATTCGGATAAGGCGGTGGTGGATGTGGGAATGGAGGATAATAATTAGGCGGATGCGAAGAAGGGGGTGCATAACCTCTGTGTATATAAGGATCTGCTGGTGGAGGAGGACCATGAAACGCTGTGTACATACGAGCATATTCCGTGTTGTAACTCGGCCCACCATATGCTGGATATCCAGGAGCACCTACTTTACAAATTTAGTTTTAATACATTTATTTCATAAATAATGTAAAATGAAATGGAAAACAATGTTAACTTACCACTGGGTGGATAAGTTGCTGATGAACCAGGTGCTGGAGGATAATGCTGTGAATATGGATCGTACGGTCCCGGTGGATAAGGCCCAGGATAACGACTACTCGTGGGATGACTAAACGCAGTAGGTATATGTGTATCATCCCTTGTGGGAGTAGTAGCTACCGTTGTAGTTACCATCGCTTCTGCACCTTTCGTTTCTGTGGTATTTGCTAATGTTTTGGCAGTAGTATTAGGTACTTGCGAATATGCAGGAGGCACATTCATCATTGTCCTCTCTTCTATGGGTTTTCCTAAATCTGGTTGTGTCTTAGCGGTATCCATTGGTAACCTAGGGTTTGCTGCATGAGGTGGAACACCAGGAAAGTATGTACCATAAGGAGTGGACAATGATCGCGATCGAGGATCACTATAATCGTAGTATCGTGGATACTGAGCGTAAGGATAGCCTTGTGGGACATTAGGAGGCTCACTTTGTATAGAGGTTTCGCGCATACTTGGTTCTGCAGTTTTTGGAGATGTCATAGTATTTGTTCCAGTACATATGGATGTAGCAGAAGTACCTATTGTTGAATCTGTTATACCTTTAGGAACTTCTGTGCTTCGTATTGTAGGTGTTGGTGGTACTTGCATAGTTGATGGTGTAGACTGTTGCGTTAACAACGGTGGTAACGGACCAGATGTTGTTGATTGCGTTACAACTTGTGGTGCAACTTGTGATGATGCTTGAGGTGGTATTTGCGGTGGTCCTTGTGATGATAACTGAGAAGGTATCTGAGGTGGTACTTGTGTTGGTAACTGTGAGGGTATTTGTGGTAATACTTGCGACTGCACTTGTGATGATACCTGAGACGGAAGTTGTTGTGATACCTGTGACTGTATTTGCGGAGATACTTGCGGTGGTATTTGTGATGGCATTTGCGATGATACTTGTGATTGCATTTGAGATGATACTGGGGATGGATCTTCAATTATAATTTCATCATTAGACATATCTCTTTTTTCTTGTTGAGTTTGAAAAGCATGGCCATAATTTGGTAATGTATCAGTTGTTTTCGTAACTTCCTTTTCAATTGAAGGAGAACACTGTTTATCAATTTTTGAATTCAATTCCGTTTCCGTTTGTTCATGCTGCGTTTGTACGCTTTGTGCAGTTACAGAATCCGAAGTATACACTTGGCTATTTTCTTCAGATGATTTTTGTAGAGCAGTATCGGTATCTGAATTCGTTACACGGTTATGATTAGGAGGACTGTAATCTGTATTTGAACTTACTTCTGCAACCACATCCTCTAATCTGACTTCTTCCACCCTTTGTTCAGTTCTAACTTGACCATCAGAAGAGTTTGAATTTTCTCCAAGTGTGGAATGATCTACTGGTTCTTGCTTCACTTTTGGTAACTTTGACAGAGACACTTGATTAGTTAAATTAACTTGACTCAAATAAGGTTTGGCAGTCGCGGTAGCAACAGGTTTTGGTCTTTTTGAAGTTTCTTTATCTGCAAATGGTCTATAATTCGATCCATTTCCTGGTTTATTAATCGAACGACCACTCGCTTGATTACTTGAGGAAGATTTCGGTATTATAGAAATGGCTGAATTATTTCTTAATGGAAATCCGACTTCTGGTTTTGAACTCCTCTGTGTCATAGATGATATACCTATAAATATTCCAATATAAAAGAAGATAAATTAA